CAGAAGAGAATCACTTAACAGATTAAGTTGAAATGCTAAACAGCTTATTGACAACCAAAGGAAGTCTATAAGTGTTTAACATTGTAGGAGAAATGTTCCCTCAAAGTTCTACTTCCACAGTAAGCCACTTATCCCTCCAAAGGAGGGATGTGAATACCTTAGAAGGACTTTAGGTCATATGGAGGAATAGAAGCACAAGATGCTTTCTATGTTTATATGAAGGAATCAGTCTAATCTAAAGCTCTCCCTATTTCTCCTATCTCCTAAGTCTTCAAAAAGCATCTTCAAGCACAAGCAACTTCAAGCTCCAAGTTCAATTCTTTGTCTTCAATCTTCCTTTATGCTTTCATATGCTCCAACAAGCCAAGCCCAAGCCCAACACCCAAAGAAATACCCCAAAACCCGACCAAACACACCAAAAGCCCAAGATGGCAACACACAAACAACATACAATTTGCAAAAATCTAATGAAATAGTAATATACTATAAAATTCTAGATTTATTTCTAAGGGAACCTAATTATCTACCCTATATCCCATATATTCGCTAAAACCTAAATCAAATACTAAATACCCAAACTATGCTCTAAACTAAAGTTAGTTGTTTTGAATTTAATTCTATCCTATAATTTCTATACAACTATATTATAAGTCCTAAAAAACTATACCAAACTATACTTATCCTAAAAATATAACCTAAGTTTTTATGCTAATGACTTAATAAAATCCTAAAGAATGAACCCTATGAATCTCCTAAAATATTATACCATAAATTCCCTACAAAAACTATAACCTAAACTACATTTTAAAACCTATTAAATCCTAATACCTTTCCTAAAGAAAATTAAAATCTAAACTATATCCTAATATTTTTTAACTCTATTCCAACTATAAGAAAATACCTAAAAGAAATTATCCTACAATTAATCCCATCCTAAATTTTAATATCTAAACCATATCCGAAAACAAAAAATTGCAATTAAAATTCTACACAAAATATTAAACAAAAAAATGGTGCAGGGGGTATATTAAACAAAATGATGTGCAGTAGCAAAAATAACAAAGCCCATCCCAATGTATCTACACACACACAGGAAGAGGGGCGCAGGGGGAAAACGAGGGAGGTATACTAGAAAAAACCAAAAAAAAACAATCAGCATTGGGCCAAGCCCGTCAGCAACAATTCACACAGAATGGGGGGGGGTATGATGAGGAAAGCCGAGGCGTGTTAGCAACCACGCATTGGGCCTAAAGCCCGTCTACTATCAACCCACATCATCAGTAACACAAAAACCCTAATCCTCTCAACTCTCTCATCGACTGTTCACCATTCTCTCAGACAGTCTAAACGGCGCATTAGCTCTCTCAAGCCACAACTCTCTGAATCTCAATCTATGTTGTTCTCTTAGCCAACAAAAATCAACTAGTTCTACCGCTAACAACAACCAAGCTAACAAGTTCAAAATGAAAAATCTGATGGAGGCGATGATACGTCTGACGGTTTGAGATGAAGCAGGCGAAGTTTATGAAGAACTGGAAGGAGCTGATTCTGGAGTAATCTTTGTTGAAAATTGATGATCCACGGCGGCGATGGTGCTCTCGTGATGATCGGACGCAGATCAACGAATCTGACGGTGAGCGAAGATGATCTTGAAGATCTTGATGGCTCGGAGATTTGCTGACAACAAAACTGCTATGAAGAAACCGGTGACTCTCAAGAACGTGACGAAGGATTGGCGAATTAGACGAAACTCTGGAGAATTGGTTGGTGAACGTTCTTGAGCTCGTATGAATCTCTGGCAAAAACTGATGATGAAGCTGGATGATGAACAAGAATTATTGATGAATGTGGACGATCTTGACGATCTATTGATCTGAGATGAACAAATGATAAAGTGATCGGTGATTTGCAGTTTCCAGTGACTCCTTGAAAAACGCAGATGAGGATTTGGATGAATTTCTGTGAGTTTGGCAAAATCTGCAGTTTCCGGTGGATTAACGGTCTCTGGCGGTTAGTTGCGGCAGAGGAAAATGTTTCCGGCGACGTCTCCGGCCGTTTGCATGGTCGGCGGCGAGGGTGGTGAGTGGGATGCTATGTGTTCAGCATGTAGTCTGAGAGGGAGTTGGTTGAGACGCGTGGCTGAGGGTGAGCAAGGGAAAGTGATGCGTGTGAGAGGGTGGAGGAAAGAGTGACGCGTGGCTGAGTGTGAGTCAGAGAGGGACGCATGGGAGAGAGAGGGAGGAAGTGGAGTGATGAGTTGTCAGTTTCTGAGAGAAAGAGAAATGAGGTGGCCAAAAAATACTGACACGCGTGGCACTATCATTTATAGGACAAGTGGCGAATTTCTGGACCTTGGGCTTTTGAATTTCTGGATAACTGGCCCACTAAGATGACTAACTCAGACTTAATATGAAATTAAACATGATTAAAACGTAATTAATGGAAAATGAAACCTAATTAACTGACAATTAACAAAAACGAAAATGCTAATTAAAATTGCTAATTAACTAAACAAAAATGATTAATGCCCTAACTAACTACACAATTAACTAATCCAGTTAAAATCTATATCACAAAAATCTATTAAACTATAATACTCTAATTAAACCCTAGAAAAACAATAAAGCCTATTAAAATTCTATATCAAAATCTATAATACTATTTATTAATACTAAAAAGTTATTAACTAGTAAAACTATTATATTCTATAAAATCTATTAAAAAATCTAAAAACACATCAATCTATATTTTTCTACAACTATCTAAAAGGAATAAAACCTATACCAAAATACTATCAAAATCTATATTAAAACTAGTAAAATCTAGATAAAAATCTATTAAACTCTATATTAAAAAACTATCCTATATTACTCTATTTAATGTCAAAAAATTATTATCTAAAATACTAATAGAACCCAATTAATGCCTAGAAAATTCTATAAAATTCTAAAAAACAAATGAAAGCAATTAAATCCAATAAAAGGGACGCGAGACCAGACTGAAATAAACGGTAAACCCCGGACACCACAATATCCTCAAAAACCACAGTGTAAGCTGAAAACGCCGAGGAGCGCCTGATTTCCCAAAAAATGAACTCCGATTATCAGGACTGGTCTGAAACGTCCGAGACGTGAAAACAGGGCTGTAATCCTGATAACATCAGTATGATTGTGAAAATGAAATGCATGCGGTATGCAAAAAAAAAAGAGCCGAAACGTAAACCAGATGTGGGAATCGGTTGGTCAAATTTTGGGGTGCAACACTTAGGTCTTCAGAGTCTTCAGGACGTTGTTCAGTAGAACTTTGTGTTCAGAGTTTTCAGCACTTAATCTTCAGAAACTCAAGTCTTTAGATCATTGTTCAACGGAACTTTGTCTTTAGAGTCTTCATCACTTAGTCTTCAGAAGATAGACATCCTTCAGAAGTAAGACATCAGAGTCACGCTCAGAACCAGAATCCAAGAGAGCATTACAGCAACAACATATTGTCTTCTTAGAATCTTTCTGAATCCAGAGTTAGAGCTTTCACTATCAGACTTAGAACCTGTTTGTTAATTCTTCAGAAAAACAAACGTTAGAGTACCAAAATTGTTCTCACACAAATACTACTTTGTTATTATCAAAACTTAGAGATATCTGGAAGAACCAAATCCTGTTCTAACAATACAATGTTTCGAAGGTCAGTCATATCAAATGCATTCATCAGCACTTTGAAATTGTTTATCTCATAAGTACAACTCCTTGTCGGAAGTATTTTATCTACATAAAGACACACCAGAGCCACATTTCCAATAGAAGTATATTGCACATACACACCATAATCCATTTCACATTTTTTGAATCCCAAATTCTTGAAAAATGAATCAACAAGTAGGTGTAATTGTTGAATTCTATGGTGGCAAACTCAATGAAGTCAGTTATAGCGATCCTGCTACTCTGAAAAAATATGCTCGATGTGCTCAATTGGGTGAAATTTTTGAATTAGATCGTGCTACTTTAAAATCGGATGGTGTTTTTCGTAGCAGTCCAAGGGGTTGGTTTACTTTTGGACATGCTTCGTTTGCTCTGCTCTTCTTTTTCGGGCACATTTGGCATGGTGCTAGAACCTTGTTCAGAGATGTTTTTGCTGGTATTGGTCCAGATTTGGATGCGCAAGTATAATTTGGAGCATTCCAAAAACTTGGAGATCCAACTACAAAAAAACAGGGAGTCTGATAGAAATAGGTTTGTTCCTTTTCGATTCGATTTTTGTTGTTGTTATGTGAATTTGATATTAGGAAACTAGATAAATCTTGATTTCAATCATTCCATTTTGTTTTACTCTTGTTCTTTCTTTTTCTTTATCCAGGAGATAATCCCCCAAAACAGGTATGAAAGCTATAATTGTAAACCACAATCAAATCTATGGAAGCATTGGTTTATACATTCCTCTTAGTCTCGACTTTAGGAATCATTTTTTTCGCTATTTTTTTTAGAGAACCCCCTAAAGTTCCCACTAAAAACACGAAATGATTGAGAATTATCTCAATTGAATGAAGTAATGAGCCTCCAATATCGTAATATTGGGGGCTCATTACTTCAACTAGTCCCCATGTTCTTCGAATGGATCTCTTAGTTGTTGAGAGGGTTGCCCAAAAGCAGTATATAAGGCATACCCAGTAAAACTTACAATTAAACCGGATATAGAGATGGCAATTAGGGTTGCTGTTTCCATGATTCTATAATATCAAGACTACAATGGATCTATAGGGTAAGATCCTTTATCTACAGCGGAATGGTATACAAAGTCAACAGATCTCAATAAAAAAATAGGATTTATGGCTACACAAACCGTTGAGGGTAGTTCTAGATCTGGTCCAAGACGAACTGTTGTAGGAGATTTATTGAAACCATTGAATTCAGAATATGGTAAAGTAGCTCCGGGGTGGGGAACTACCCCTTGGGTGGGGGTTGCAATGGCCCTAACAGATATTCGAAATACGTTCGATTGCTTCAATATCCATGAATCTAAAAAAAAGAATTGATGCTTGGAACGAGTGTATAACAAAAATTCTCGGCATTCCTTGGGGATTCTTGATTGGTGCTGAGCTAACTATAGCTCAAAGTCGTATTTCTTTGGTTAATAAAATCCAAAATTTTTATCGATCCCAGGGAGTACACATCGATAATAGACATATCGAGATTATTGTGCGTCAAATAACATCCAAAGTCATGGTTTCAGAAGATGGAATGTCTAATGTATTTTTACCTGGCGAACTAATTGGATTATTGCGAGCAGAACGAACGGGGCGTGCATTGGAAGAAGCCATTTGTTACCGAGATTTATTATTGGGAGTAACAAAAACATCTCTGAATACTCAAAGTTTCATATCCGAAGCGAGTTTTCAAGAAACTGCTAGAGTTTTAGCAAAAGTCGCTCTTCGGGGTCGTATTGATTGGTTGAGAGGTCTTAAAGAGAATGTTGTTTTAGGGGGGATGATACCCGTTGGTACCGGATTCAAAAGAATAATGCACCGTTCACGGTCAAGGCAACATAACAAGATTAGCCGGAATTAGAAATCTTTTGTTCCATCACAGAAAATTATTTAATTTTTCTCATTTCAGAGAATTTATGTGATACATTCGAAATATAGGATTAAATATAGTATTAAATGCTTCCTAACAGCGGATTCGACTCATCCATCCCGTGAAATATTTAAATGCAGTCATTGGATTTGGTAATTAAAGTATATTAAAAAATAATAAGAAATAGAAATCAAAGAATGGCCTGATTCTATATTAACGGCCGATCGTCTATAAAAGAGAAGGTTCCATCGGAACAATTATTTATTAGGATACTCGGTCTCTCTTTTACTTTTTTTTCATTTTTTTAAACAAAGTGTGGGGATAAATGACAAAAAGATATTGGAACATAACTTTGGAAGAGATGCTGAAAGCTGGGGTTCATTTTGGCCATAAGACTAGGAAATGGAATCCTCGAATGGCACCTTTTATATCGGCAAAACGTAAAGGTAATCATATTACAAATCTTACTAAAATTGCTCGTATTTTATCAGAAGCTTGTGATTTGGCTTTTGATGCAGCAAGCAAAGGAAAACAATTTTTAATTGTTGGTACCAAAAGAAAAGTTGCCTATTCAGTAAGACGGGCTGCAATAAGAGCTCGATGTCATTATGTTAATAAAAAATGGCTCGGAGGTATGTTAACGAATTGGTATACTACAGAAATGAGACTTCGTAAGTTCAGGGACTTGAGAACGGAGCAAAAGACAGGGAAACTGAACTCTCTTCCAAAAAGAGATGCTGTTATGTTGAAGAGGCAATTATCTCATTTGGAAACATATCTAGGCGGTATAAAATATATGACAGGGTTACCTGATATTGTAATAATCCTTGATCAGGAAGAAGAATATAAGGCTCTTCAAGAATGTATCACTTTGGGAATTCCAATGATTTGTGTAATCGATACAAATTGTAACCCCGATCTTGCGGATTTGCCGATTCCGGCTAATGATGATACTATGGCTTCCATCGGATTCATTCTTAACAAATTAGTTTTTGCAATTTGTGAGGGTCGTTCTAGCTAGATACAAAATTATTGATTAATAATAAGATAAATCCATTTTTAGATTTGGTTGGGCGGTGATAAATTTTTGGAATTGGTTATTATAGCATTACAAAATTGTGTAAAAAGAAATATTTTTGGATTAGTAGGTATTCCAAATCGAAAATCCAAGTAAAATAAGGAAATGGTTGAATCAAAATAATTCCCTTTCAAGTTATCTTTTTTATTTTAGAGGGCAATATGAATGTTCTATTATGTTACATTAGCAAATAAGGGATTTTCAAGTGCATGCTCAAGTACTTATTACATCTTGGGTTGTAATTGGTATCTTATTAATTTCAACCATTCTATTTGTTAGAAATCCACAAATTATTCCCACGTCTGGTCAGAATTTCTTTGAATATGTCCTTGAATTCATTCGAGACGTGAGCAAAACTCAGATTGGAGAAGAATATGGTCCATGGGTTCCATTTATTGGAACTCCGTTTCTATTTATTTTTGTTTCGAATTGGTCAGGGGCACTTTTGCCTTGGAAAATTATAAAGTTACCTCATGGAGAGTTAGCTGCACCCACAAATGATATAAATACTACTATTGCATTAGCTTTACTTACGTCATTAGCCTATTTCTATGCGGGTATTTCAAAAAAAAGGATTGGCCTATTTTGGTAAATACATCCAACCAACGCCAATCCTTTTACTGATTAACATCTTAGAAGATTTCACAAAACCCTTATCGCTTAGATTTCGACTTTTCGGAAATATATTAGCGGATGAATTAGTAGTGGTTGTTCTTGTTTCGTTAGTACCTTTAGTAGTTCCTATCCCTGTTATGTTCCTTGGATTATTTACAAGCGGTATTCAAGCTCTTATTTTCGCTACTTTAGCTGCGGCGTATATAGGTGAATCCATGGAAGGGCATCATTGACTAGTTATCTAAATAGGATTTTAGACCGCGACTGGCTCGCGATAATCTACTTAAGGAACATTAATAAAATTAAGGAACATAAATCAAAAAATCCAAAAGAAATTATGAAAAGTTTTCATAACAATCAAAAAGTATAAAGAAAATGAAAACACTTACCAGGAAATTCAACAAAAAATAGAAATTCAATTAAAATAAAGGGTGGGGGGTCAAACTAGGCATATATATAATATAATCGTTATAAAACAGCTGGGGGATTTCCAAGAATGATTCATTGAATCGAAGATACAATGAATTGGTTTACGATATGGAACAAACACATGTATATGTCATAGTAGATATTCATTAGTTATATATGACTATATATCTCAATTTGTTCTGCTACTACTCTAAATTTAGGTAGGGATTCAAAAAAAAGAGCTCTTCCATCTCTTGGAATTGTGAATGGAATATAAAATGACTGGAAAAATGAAATTAAAAAGAAAAAGAAAGGTTTAAACGAAATGTAAGATAAGACCCCAAATTGTATGTATTCACAAAAAATGACAAGGGTAGAAACGAAAAAAGTAAATATCAAAGTAATTGAGATAATTCAATCCAAATTCTTCAGTTTGTAATTTTGAATTACACTTCGACTAGATAAAGAGAAATAGGACGAATGAAAGAATTAAGTCATATATTTTTTGTTGATTATATTATTAACTATTTCTTTATTTTATTTTGACATAGGAGAAACTTATCATGAATCCACTGATTGCTGCTGCTTCTGTTATCGCTGCTAGGTTGGCCGTCGGGCTTGCTTCTATTGGACCTGGAGTTTGTCAAGGCACAGTTGCAGGGCAAGCTGTAGAAGGGATTGCGAGACAACCGAAAGCAGAGGACAAAATACGGGGTACTTTATTACTTAGTCTGGATTTTATGGAAGCTTTAACTATTTATGGGTTGGTTGTAGCATTAGCGCTTTTATTTGCCAATCCTTAGTTTAATATTTATTCAAAAAAATACATATTGTTTTTTTTCATGGATTTTCGTTGTTGCTCTTGCTAATTCTATTTCGATTTTACTGTTACAATTTTTTGCATTCGGATTAACATATTGATTTGCCTTCTTCCGTCCCTTTCATTAGTCCAATGACCCCCTTTTTATTTAGAAAGTGTTGAAAACAACTAAGTATTTTGCAATTTACATACGAACTAGTATTTATTTCTAAGAAGTATCATTCCTTATAGGGAATCTTTCAATTGACTAACCAATTCCAAATATAGAATAGAATAGTCTTCTTAGTATCTTTTGATTCTTACTAATATTCCTTATTAGTAAGAATCAAAATAGAAAGAATAAGTAAATATATTCATATTAAATAATTCAATTATAGAATAAACTATTATATATAAAAACGAATAAAAAAACTTGGAATCTTAGAAATAAATTTAGTCTATCCATAAGAGGAGATGCGATCATATGAAAAATATAACCGATTCTTTTCTTTGCTTCATTTCCTGGCCATCCGCCAGAAGTTTCGGGTTTGATACCGATATTTTAGCAACAAATCTAATAAATATAAGTGCAGTCCTAGGTGTATTAATTTTTTTTGGAAAGGGAGTGTGTGCGAGTTGTTTATTTCAAAGAATAGATTGGATCCAACCAACTGCACTTTTTTGTTATAACTAGGAAAATGTGCATGATCCGGCGAATGACTTCTTACGAAATAACGAAAAAAATAGTTCAGAACCATAGCATTTCGCGATTCAGTGGTAAATCTACTTTGATTCTCTATCAACCAAGAATTTTGGAGCATTACCATGGTTAAAGCTAACGAGTTTGAAGTTTCGACGCAGTCTAGTATTCTTTCTACCACTATGTTAATAGGGAAATTCTAATTTTTTCGATATAGAACACTCATGTCGATAAAATGACTTGAATTCTCTGTATGATGAAAAATAGGAAAAAAGGTGTTTTGTTTAACGCCTCTGTTTCTACTTTTCTACAATGCGGAATTGATGACCTACGTATAAATTAATCATAATTCTTTGGATTTCACGAAAAAAAAAACAACTTTGCTGACAATTATTTGTTTGCTCAGAAGAGTCCTCCAAATATTTGGGTCTTGTATCGATAATCATTTTCAAGATTTTTAGAAATAGAGAAAAAAGGATAGGCTCATTCCCTAATAAATAGGGGGAATTTCCTATAAGGAATTGAGTGTGAGAGCCAAATGAATTGAAAGATTCATGTTTGGTTCGGGAAGAGATCATAGACATTTGGAAATGAATGGAAAGAGAATCTACTTTCATTAAGTGATTTATTAGATAATTGAAAACAGAGAATCCTGAGAACTATTCGAAATTCAGAAGAACTACGGGAAACAACCATTGAACAGCTGGAAAAAGCCCGGGCCCGTTTCAGGAAAGTAGAAATGGAAGCAGATCGGTTTCGAGTGAATGGTTATTCCGAGATAGAACGAGAAAAATGGAATTTAATTAATTCCATTTATACAACTTTGGAACAATTCGAAAATTACAAAAATGAAACCATTCCTTTCTTGCGGATCAAGGTAATAAATTGGACTCTTTTTCTCTATTTATTTTTTTTTATCTATCTGTCCTATTTTTGAATATTCTAGGAAATTGGATTAATAATAATAGATTCTAACTGAAAGTTTCGTCCAATAATTGCCTTCAAAATCTCGTATGCATCATAGATATGAAAACCAAATGTTTGATACTCGAAGTCATGATTGGATGGACTTTTCTATTCTTTTTATAGACATATCTTCTATTTTTATAGACCTATCTTAAAGAAATAATAGAAATCAATTTTGATCTTTTCTTGTATTCGGAAAAAAGATATTTGGAAGTCAAATGACTTGTCTGTTGGAACTTAGAATAAGCCCTCCCATTGGAAGAGAGGAGTAGCAATTGATTCCTAGGAACAATAAGATATTATCCGAAATATAGATGGATTCTTGCAGAGTTCGAACCAAAAGGGTATTAAAAAGAAAAAAGATACACTATTCGAATTTCATTTCTATCCACCAATTGGAATATCAGAATAGTGGATATAGTTCTGATTCAATAGGTTAGGTCCACTTACTTTTTTTAGAATCTTTCCCTTTATTGGATTGGAAGAATCCAAAATAGGAGTAAATGACAATTAAAGCAAAGAAAATATCAGATTCTAAAAAAAGAAATATATATAGAAAAGAACACTATTTCCCTTTCTAACTAGAATGAGTTTACTCTATTCGAATGATAACAATAACTTAATAGAGTTTAAATTCTAAATTAGATTTTTTATAATGAAATTCAACTATTCATGAGTTTATTTTATTTTATTACAAACAGAAACTTCTTACAAATATCAAGAATATTTGTATATCTTTCTTCAAATAGAAATACTACTGTTATCATTTTTTGATAAAAAAAGCCCTTTATCCGATTTGAACCGATGACTTACGCCTTACCATGGCGTTACTCTACCGCTGAGTTAAAAGGGCGCCGTTTGAGTCAATTCCCGAATACAGAATCAGCCAATATGAATATGAATATGAATATGAGTTGAGTACATCTATTTCAAATATTTCTGAATCTTTGATAAATGGATTCTATCATGTCCCTTAACTCAATTCTTATTGATCTTCATCCTTTTTTTATTTTACTCCATTTCCGGATTCATTCTCATTTTTTTATTTCCCTACTTAGTGTGAAATAGAAATATACCTAATTCAATCTTCTTTACACTGAATGAAAGTGAACGAAATAATGTGTTAATGCCCCCCTGTTCCCGCAAATCAATTATTTCCAGAAAGGATTCTATGTTTATTTTGGTTTCTTTCGCATTACTTCGTTTTATTTTGTATTTTGTTGAATTCTAGATTGGTGATTGGAATGAACCATTTCGAAATCAAAAGGGTGAATCCAAAAATTGTAAGGAATTCTGAAAGATGGGAAGATCCTTCTGATTGAATCATTCTATTGACAATTTCAAAAAACTGTTCATACTATGAACATAGTAGAATGGAGGTCGGGCAAGGTTGCCCCCATCGTCTAGCGGTTTAAGACATCTCTCTTTCAAGGAGGCAACGGGGATTCGAATTCCCCTGGGGGTAGGGTACTACGAAAGGAAATGGATCAGGGATTATCAATAAAGACTAAATTGGATTCTTCCTGGGTCGATGCCCGAGCGGTTAATGGGGACGGACTGTAAATTCGTTGGCAATATGTCTACGCTGGTTCAAATCCAGCTCGGCCCAAAAATAAAATATTTACGGATCCACCATGAAATGATAGAACCCATTTGGTGTTCTCTTAAAATCACCAATGGGATCGGATACATAAGATTAGAATCTCGAGTCCTATGTATTTTTTCCATATTACTTACATATTTTTTCCACAAATTAGGATTTTGCAAAATTCCTATCGGGATCTGTAAGTTTAAAGTCTAAGGAAAGGGTTAAAGGTAAAAAACAAAAAAAGAATCTTTTTTGTTTCCTTGATTTCTTGATTGATTTATTTTTAAATCAAGTTGGCAATAACGAACGGATTGCGATGCGAGTCATCCGTGTCGATAAAGTGCAGACCCACCCAAATAGGAATATATATATATATATATATATATATATATATATATATATAAGTAAGCCCCAGGGGTTCGAATCTCAAATAGAAAAACAAAGAGTTTGGATGAAATTGTAAGAAAATATATGTATACTATACGACTTTTTCCCTGGGTTTGTAGTTCAATTGGTCAGAGCACCGCCCTGTCAAGGCGGAAGCTGCGGGTTCGAGTCCTGTCAGTCCCGATGGATACAAATCCAAAAAATATCAATGGGTTTCGTGTATGAAAGGGAATAAAAAAAATATCATTTCTAACGGGTATCCCTTTTTTTCTTTTTTAGTTTTAGGGAAAGGTTGGGACAAAGAAAAAGGACTTTTGGATTGCATCAGAAAGTCATTTTCTTATTTGGTATGGATAAAACATCTTCCGATGTTATACTATTCAAT